GCTCAAGGCCACCTTGGGACTGCTTGGTGATTACCACGTGTAAAGCCAAGGAAAGGGAGGGAATGCACCTTTACCAAAGAGAGAGTCCCTAGGCTGAAGAAGAGGATGGGGCAGAAGAGTATCTGGGCCTAAATCCAGTCAGTGACAATGACCAGAAACCATCAGAAAGTGATCAGCAGTGTGGGAAAGAAACCAGTAGAGAGGCTAGAACTAAGCTGCTCTTGAGTTCCAGGACAGAAGCCTCCCCAGAAACAAGCAGGATAGAGTTCAAGGTCAGCCGTGAGCTTCCTGCCTGCTTAAGGGTTAGGCTTCTGTAGCTCTTTCTGGTGACCTAGCATATACCTTGGGAACTGGTGGTGAGGCATCTGCCCTAAGGCTCTGCAGCTGCCTCCATCCACCTGGATTGGTGCTGTTCTATCTACTCTTCTGCTTCCAGATCTCCGCTGTCCACTATTAATGCACAGCTGACAGATTGCCAGCTGGAAATCAATATTTGAGAGTGAGAAAGTAGACTTGAAGGATTCTCTTGTAGGCACCCAGGGGGGTTGGTGACATGATACTGCATTCTGAGTGCTCACTGGCCCTTCGAGTTGTTGAAGGACTTGTGACAGAGAGGCCAATGTGCTGACAGGGAGCAGTCAGCCGGTCCTGATGTTGAGGAGGTGCCTGAGCTGTGCTGTACTGTACCTCTGAACAGGGTTGATGGGATCATTGTGGCTCTGCTGTTCTTTCTGCTCCTAGGATGCCTTGCTCTATGCTTGTGTGGTTTAGTTATCTGAGAGGGTGTAAGTGGCTTTTTTAATCCACTTTTTTTCTTTTTAGAACCACCACCACCACCTAAAATTCCCAAACTTGAGACCACCCACCCACCATTGCCTCCAGCACACCCGCCTCCAGGTATGTGCTTTGTGACCACTTGCCCAGCATCTCTGGGACCACCTACTGGAGGGATGACCTAGAGGGTCCTGCAAAGATAGCTGTGCACTAGGAGCCTTCAAAACTGCTAGAGTCACAATAGGTATTTGTAGATGGTGTCAGCTTGGCGTGTCACTGACCAGCCACACCCAGAAGTACTGAAGTACATGAGTAAATGAATTCTCGTGAAAACCCTACCATGTGAGAAACATTTATCCCCATCTGCACAGAGTTCTCAGGCTGCAGTCTCTTTCACCTGCTTCCTGTTGGCAGGATGTCTCCTGGTGGGTTGTGAATAATGAGCAATTGTTGAGAGTCACTGCAGTGTAACGTAAAGGATATAGAGTTCCCTGATCCCAGACAGCTTTCTTTACTTGTACACCTTTTCAGAAATGGGCGCCGGAGAGCTGCTGTATTCCACGGGCCCTGTACTTCTGACAGTTAGCTATACTGAGAGGCAGTGGTGTGCATGACTAGCCCAGCTGTGGAGCTCATGCCTGCAGCAAACAGCTGCCAAGTAGCTTTCTCTGTGTCCACGTGCTATGAGAATGGAGGTGATGTGTTCTGTGTGGAGCACGATCCCAGGTCCCCATCTTAAAAGCTATAGCATCTCAATGAGTGGTCTGCAGCGCTGTGCTTAGCGGGGGTGGGATGTGGCACACATACAGGGCCCAAGGTAGTTGGCAGGTTATTATTGCCTGCACTCAAGGCAAAGAAAGCAGCTACTATAGATGCCTCAAATCCTACCCCTTCCCTTCAGAGCACAGGAATTCCCGCTCAATTGGCTGCAGACCAGCCTGGGATAGTACCTCAGAGCCAGGTCATCTTCAGAAGGCCTTGGTTGGAGAAAGTGTTACCTGGCAACCCTTGCTCTTCTGCTGGGAGATGTGGCAGCAAAGATCTCCCTCATAGAAGGTCCCTGGGGTCCTGTGGTAGCTGTCTATGAAGAAGGATCGGAGGAGGAATCAGTGCTAGAGAAAGGCAGAGCTCTAGGAACTGCAGAAACACTAAAGTCAATAGCCAGGCGTAGAGGACATTTATATGGACTATATCCTTATATGGAAGCAGCTTGTGACACAGAGGTGAGACCTCTACCTCAGAAGAGCACAGGGGGCAGATACTCACTCAAGAACTGGACAAGCCAGAACTAAAGATTGCAGTAGTCAGTTTCTTTTTTCATTTTGGGGGTTTGGTTTGGGTATGTTTTTTTGAGATAGGGTTTCTCTGTATAATACTTCTGGCTGTCCTACAACTCACTCTGTAGACCAGGCTGGCCTTTAACTCACGGAGATCTGCCTGTCTCTGTCCCCCTAGTTTGCTGGGAATAAAAGCAAGTGCTACCACCACCTGGCCTTTTTTTTAAGAGGGTATAGTTTGAATGCACACAATCACTTAGCTTCTGGAGCCAAGGGGCATTTGTCTGCCTCGGACTTTAAGCAAATACATCTGGCCATCTGTTGGGGGGAAGAGTGTGGCTGCTGATCATTCCAGCTGAGGCCCTCTGACATATCTGTTGCCAAGCCAAACTTCTATTTGCCTTCACCTTGGCGGGAACAGGGTAAAGCAGGTACCAGTTCTGGGCCGTGGGAAGAGCAGTGGTGTGGCTGTGCCCTGTGGCTTGGGGCAGGCACCTTCACTATCCCTTGTCCGCCTGCCTGCCCAGTTAGGGCCCAGCGTCTTTCACACAGCTTCTTGAGGAGCTGGAAATGCTCTTCCCCTCACTTTCCTTCAGTGGGCTCCATAGCCAGTAGGTTTGTGATTGTCCTTCTGAACAGCCTTGTAAAGGGACACTTGATTTTGTGTGTGTGGTGTTTTGCCTGCACGTATGTCTGTGCAGCATGTTCATGCCTAGTCCCCATTGGGGTTAGAAGAGGGCATTGGATCCACTAGAACTGGAGTTACTGACAGTTTTGAGCTGCTGTGTAGGTACTGGGAACTGAACCTCGATCCTCTGCAAGAGCAGCAAGTGCATTTAACCCCTGAACCATATTTCTGCTTCCCCAGAACACAGTTTTTGAGTGCATATGCCATGGTGATGGGGGGGTGGGGGATTTCTGGTATCATTTTCCAGAGGTTCAGCCATGACTCAGGACTACAGGCCAAGCCAGAGCCTCCTGGGAGGCTTTGGGGAACTAGAACCTGTAGCTGTCAGCTGTGGACAGGTGTGTGGTCTGTTCTGGGCACACTTGTCCACACACCCATCCATTGGATCTGAAACGTCAATGAGATTGGTTTTTCTTTCAGTAAAATAGAGACAGAAATGCCACTTTTGTGGAGTGCTGGTTCTTGTTTGACTTTTATGTACAGAGCTCAGGCTTTGGGAACAGAGACAGGCAGAAAACCCCCACCTGTCTGTGCTAGGAGAGGCTGAGCCTGCTTATTATGCCTTGTGTGCATGAGCAGGGAGGGGACCCAGCATCATTGGGATGTTGCAGAAGGCCTGTGGGAAGGGTCAGATGCAGGACCTCTAGACTTGTTGAGTCACAGAGGTGTTACCACCCCTTACTCTTCTGTAACATAGTCCTGGGGGATGGTAGCACCTTATCTATGCCCATGAATAGTTAGGCTGCCAGGGGTCCCTAAAATCTGCTTGACCCTCTTGTCCCCAGGGCCTTCCTACTGACATGTCTCTCTTGTACAGATCGGAAGCCTCCTCTCGCTCCTGCCTTAGGTGAGGCTGAAGCAACTGGTCCAGTGGAAGCAAGTGACCTCCCCAAAGTCCAGATTCCTCCTCCATCCCACCCGGCCCCTGTGCACCAGCCCCCACCATTGCCGCATCGCCCTCCGCCCCCACCGCCCTCCAGCTACATGACTGGGATGTCTACCACCAGTTCCTACATGTCAGGAGAAGGCTATCAGAGCCTGCAGTCCATGATGAAGACCGAGGGTCCCTCTTATGGTGCCCTCCCCCCAGCCTATGGCCCACCTGCTCACCTTCCCTACCACCCCCATGTCTACCCCCCCAATCCACCTCCACCTCCTGTTCCTCCACCCCCAGCTTCCTTTCCCCCACCCACTATTCCTCCCCCTACCCCAGGCTACCCTCCACCTCCCCCAACCTATAACCCCAATTTCCCACCCCCACCTCCACGCCTGCCTCCCGCTCATGCAGTCCCTCCTCACCCTCCTCCAGGTTTGGGTTTGCCACCAGCCAGCTACCCACCTCCAGCTGTTCCCCCTGGTGGGCAGCCACCTGTCCCCCCACCCATTCCCCCACCTGGCATGCCGCCTGTTGGAGGGCTAGGGCGGGCAGCTTGGATGAGATAACGCGAAGCCTTTTTCCCTTTTGGGCTTTTTTGTTGTTGGTTTTTTGTTTGTTTGTTTTAAAACAAGAGTTTTCCAACCAGCTTGAAGAGTAGACTGGGCGGGTAGCAGCAGGGTATCTTGTACATGACAGTAACAGTCTGGGAGAGCCAGGCCTGGAATGAGAACAGTGCACCCTGGGTAGTACCTGATGTGGTGTGACCACATCCAGTCTCAGCGGCCATCTGTCCTGCACGGAGTTACACTAGTGAAGATAGTAAGCAGCCACATTGGCTCAGTACATAGCTTCAGTAAGGAGTGACTTTCCCTCTAGCAATCAGTGCCTATTTTTCCTGGGAACTCAACTTTTCGTAGCTGTGCCCTCCTCTCTACTGTTACCCTTCCATTCAGTGCTTCTCTCTGTGGCCCTAGATGAGGTGGGCCCCACTTACCATCTGGAGGGGGCTGTCTCCTTTCCTCCAGGGGGAAAGGAGGTGTGTACTTGGAAAATAATGTATGTTTACATCTCTTTGCAAAGCCTTGTACATAGAGATATATTTTTTAAGTGTGAATGTAACAACATACTGTGAATTCCATCTTGGTTACAAATGAGAGTCAGTTACACAAATAAAACCAGTTCTGAAACTTGTTTGTCCATGTGAGACCTGACTGAAGGACATGGGGTCCAGTGCAGAATCAGGTGTTCTGCCTATACAAGCTTCTAGAGGGATCAAGGCTTGGAAACCCTCCCATTCCTGGCCTGGAAGTAACCAAGAGTGGCCTTCAGTGTCCGCTGTAGGCCAGCCATCGGCGCACACAGAGGCAGGCAGCACACACCCAGCTCACAGGCTCACAAAGAGGCCTTTATTATCTAGTTCAAATAGACACTGTCACAATCTTATTTGTTACTCCTTTTACTAAAATAGTTCAGATCAATGCTTTTACCACACTATCAAAAGTTCTATTTCTTTTTTCTCTCCACAAATCAAAGTGGTTCAATAGAAAGTGGTTCAATAGAAGGTAGAAACCGCCAAAGTCCACAGGCTCCAGCTCTGCACACAGCCAGGGCAGGAGGGGGCAGCTGCAGATCTCACCACCATCAACAGGGCAGGAACCAGGCGTTCCAGCCCCTCCCCAAAGCAGCACACTTTCCCCCACAGTATGAAAATATACACCTCTGCCACTCTGCAGCCATGCATTTAGTTTGTTTCTTTAAAAAAAAAAAAAAATCAGTAGTATGTATCTCACATCCTCTCAAGTTTCAAGAAAGAAAAATGAAAGGTCACTTTGTCTTTAAAACACTGGCTTGTGGCTGTTTAATGCAAATGAAAATGTGCTCAGCAGATTCTGACTCCAGGGTAGGCGAGGCCACCTGGAAGGAGCCCGGTGACCTCCGTCACAGTGGGAGGTGGAGCCAGTGCAAGCGTCTTGTGAGCTTGAGGTGGAGAGTCAGCATTGCAAAAGCTAAAGCTCCAGAAAGGGGGGTGGCCCCAGAAGACCACCTGCCCTCCCCAGCCCAGGGCTCACTGGGTTGCTGCTAGCCCCTCCTTGCTATTAGGTCTGAGATAAGACACAGACTGTCCTTAGAGAGCTAGCCCATTGCTGAAAGGGCCTAGCTTGCTCCACCCTGCGGAAGGACAGGTACTCAAAGATTTATGTTCTTTCAGTTCCCATGATGTCTCTGCAGCATTAGGGACGGGGTCACATCTCTCCAGAAGGGATAGGTAGCTTCTAGGCTTTTCTTTCTTGGCCAGTCTTCAGATTCCAGGAGTCCTGACTTATTGCTTATGTCAGTGGTGGCTAAGCCATCCTGATACAAATGTGATTTCCTGGGACTCCTGGATGAGGCTCCCACCTTGTGTGGACCCATATACCTCTGCGTTATTCTGGGATTCCTTGGCCTCAAAGAACCTGTAAGGGTCTTGCCTGCCCAGCAACCTACTTAACAGGAATCACCCAGTACCAGGGCTAGCAGGTGGGTACCAACAAGTTAAACACTTGACCAGACATCAGCATTTCTAGAAAGAGCTTCCCAGTGCCCCACAGCCAGAGCAGTAGACCTGTTCCCTACTGCCCTTGCACAACACTCCCTGGGCACACCGAAGGCCATGGGCCTTTCCCCTGAGAGCGTGGGACCCAAGGGTGCGGGCAACAGAGGTGGTGGGAACAGCCCAAGGGGTCATGAGGCCTTGGTTGGGAGGGAAGTAAGATGCTACCACCTTCTTAGCAGGTCCCCTTAGCTCACAGGGTGTGGCTGGGGCCTGAAGGAGAACTGCCTGAGGCGAGGACAAACAAGCTCTTTGGGCTCAAGTGCTTGCTGTATGGGGCTCGAAAGTACCATTGAGTGAGGAAGTAAATACCTGGCACGGATGATGCCAGCAGCAGGGAGGGCCTGGTCCTCCTGCAGGTCTTGAGATATCTATATAGTTCGCAAAAGCACCACTTCCTCATTTTCCTCACACCAAGGTAGAAACCATCCCTATCTGTCATGCTTCGCCGTTTAGGCATGATCGTGTGCACTGACACGCTTATTTGAACCCCCGGGGTCCCTGTAGGGAGGGGCTGAGGCTCAGAGAGGTGACCTGTGCGGAGACAGCTAGCCACTGTTCTGCCCACCTAACATGTTCCCAGTAGGTCGCACATGAGCTCGTCAGCTGTGAGAGAGGACAGAAGCCCACTGAGCAGACTGAAATGGAACCTCAGCCCATCTTCTCACTAGGCGCCTGGAGAAGCTGAGTGACTTTCTGAAGGCCACACAAGTAAATTAAAGCCAGAACCAGGTCGTGCCCCTTCCTTCCCAAGGAAAACTCATCAGGGGCAGCTCCTGCAGCTCCAGCCATAGTGACCCAGGGTGCATCCGGGGGAGGCTACACCGACAGTGACCCAGGCCATGGCCCAGTTCTTCCTATCCAGAGAGGATGCTGAGCTCATCCTAGACACTCTCCAGGACTTCCTATGTTGCTGTAAACCAGAAAATGAAACTTGAAGGAGAGATCTAAGAGATGGCTACGCCTGGCATGGGCAGGGAGACACTGCTGAGGGGGTGAGTGCTAATAAGCAGCAGCTGGCACCGGGATGGCGAGGTACCGACCCCCAAGTAGCACGGAACCCTGAGCTCCCAGCCAACCATGGACACATGGGACCCAGTGCTCCACAACCCAGGGTCCTGGCTATGGCAGGGTGGCAGAAAAGTGCCACCTGTGTCACAATTCAAGCTCTGGTGGCTTCTGTCAGTGTGAGGGACAGCCAGGGTAGAAGGCTTGATGAGGGGCATCCACCAAGAGCAGGACAGCCCCAGACAGTCCCGGGCCTGGAGTCTCAGAAGCTTCTTGCGAGTGGAACACGGAGCTCAAACAGGGAGCCAGGCTGCCTGACCACTCTGCTGCAGCAAACAGCCTGTGGCTTCTCATCTTCCCAAGGTTTGCTGGTGAGGGAGGCAGGAGGTGGAGGCCTGGCTGTCAGTGTCACACCAGGGCAGCCAGGTAGGCCATGTCCTATGTACAATTCACCACAGAGAAAGACAGTGGCTGGGCCAGAGTTTCTACCAGGTCTAGGGCCTCAGACTCTAGGCAGGGCCAGTCCACATCCATGGAGGAATGGCCCTACAAAGGCCCCTTGAACTGGTTACCAGACAGGTGCTGCCGGATGGAGGGCTTGGTGCTGGCGGCATCTCCCAGTTTCCTCCAGACCACCTGTGAGGAGGCACACAGTGTTAAGTGGGGGTGGAGTGCTCACCTCAATCCTGCTCTCGGGCCCCACATACCTACTGCCTTACCACCCTGCAAAATCGCCCATGTCTTCAGAGCCATGCAGCTGAGGCCACAGGAAGGTAGAGGTGCCCACCATCACCGTTATGCCTGACCCCCAAGCAGGCCACTGCTAGGTGTGAGCTCATCTTTTCAGATGTCCAGTGGGATCCATAGTCTCAGGAAACAATATGAGGTACACCTAGACTCCAGGTTCAGAGCCTGTCCTAGTGGCTTCTGTGAGGGTCCAATGAAGATGACAAGTGGTAGTTGGGAGATGAAGACGAGGCTCTCTCTCCCACAGGATAGAGTGCTCACTTGCAAGGCCAGGTCTGAGCACTAACTGCAAGGCCAGAGGCCACCAAGGGGCACCAGTGAGGGAGGAAAAAAAACAGGGCCCCACAATTGGGATGAAGATGAGAGCCCAGGCTCTGTCTAGAACCCCAGGCATGGCACTACTGGGAAGGGACAGAGCTGGTGAGGGGTCAGGAGCCTCTCAAAGGGGAAGTATGGTAAGTGGTAATGAACCAGGATCCCAGAGCCGGTCATCTTCCCCCAGCCATAGCGGAGCAAATGAGAAGCAGGTGGCCACGCCCCAGTGCCCAACCCAGCCCCAGCCCCAGCCTCAGTGCCCAACCCAGCCCCAGCCCCAGCCCCAGCCCCGGGAAGAGCCTCACGTTGCACATCTCTCGAACGATGGCCTTCTCCTTCTCACTCAGGTCTTCCTCACAGCTGTCCTGAAGCTGCCGGTCAAGGTTCTCGTGTACTTCTAGAACCTGAAGAAACAAGTGTCACAGCCTCAAGAGACACTCAGGAAACCAGGGAGGCTGGACAGGGACTTCAGGTGGTCTTGCTTCACGAGCCCGTACCCAGCCTTGCGGGACATGGCAGTTTCTGCTAGCAGCCATTAAGACTGAGTACCCATGCACATGTGTGGGTGACAACCATGATATACATACAAAGGCAGGCAGGAGACCCCTGACGTGCTGCTGTGTTCAGGTATGCAAGCCCACTCCAGACACTAGAGTCCCCTGAAACCTGCCTGCTGTACCTAGAGGCACAAGGCTAGCCTGGACCTCCACTTCTAGCCTCACTCCCACCCCAGGCCTCTCTCTGGCCTTAGGAGAACACTTGTCAGTCTCCCCAGCTGCAGTACCTCAGGCTGAGCAGACAATTGACACACTCATGACCACATCCAGCGTAAGTCCCATGGTGCTCCAGGCAACCGTGTGCCCCAGCCACCAAGAGACACAGTCTCCCACCCCCACTAAGTGCCCTGAGCTTGGAGGTAAAGCACTTGAAGAGAAAGGTCCCATGATCCCACGGTCCTACTGTGTGCTCGGGAAGGGCAAACAGTACATTTTACCTTCATGGCATGCACAACAGCCTCGGGCTTCTGTCCTGCAGAACTGTAGACAGTGGAAGGGGGTGAGGGCAGCTCAGGTACAGGGCAGGCAGGGCCCTGTGGAAAGAACGGCACATGTGAGCCCCCTGGCTGGGTCCCAAATGCCTGTCACTGGGGTAAATACCAGTTTGGGTTACATGGAACCAACACCCAGACAAGAGGCAGGGGCTGGGGGCTGGAAGGACAAGGGTGGAGAAGAGGCCTGGATGAGAGCTGAGCATCCTGAAGCTGACCTTTGCCTAGCTAGTCTATGCTTCCTGAACACACCTCTGCTGCAGACTGCATGGTGACTTACAGAGCCAAAAGTGGGGGGGGGGGGGGACTCTGTATGTGGAGGGAGAAGACCCTGTATGTGGAGGGAGAAGACCCTGTATGTGGGGGGGACCCTGTATGTGGGGAGAAGATGCCACGTCCACAGCAGTGACTGCCGTGTAGTGACAAAATGCCTCTGCGCTGGCTTTTGCCTGCTGAAGGATTGGGGTTAGAGCTTCTTGGAGCGAAGCCCCAGGTGGTCCCCCTGGCAATCAGCAGTCCAGAGAGGACCTGATGCCCTAGGCAAATCTCGTATCTGGAGATGGCC